TTAGCCACCACTACACTTCCCACTTACTTGCTTTGCAGGCCAGGGTGGGCCTGAGAACCTAAAGATTTGTCTGGAGGGAGCATAGACTATGTCCCTGTCCCTGTCTGCTGGCAGGAAGAAGAACATCTGCCTACCTGAAGCATACCATGAAAGTGCTGGCCAGGTAACATCCAAGAGCAAAAGTGACAGATGGGTCCCTGCTGGTGCAGGACAGAATCAGCCTTGATACAGCTGCCCCACTCTGCAGAGAGGGTGGGTGTGCTTGGGTGTGAGCAAGTGCAGGAAGGTCTCTGCCCTTAGGCCTTCACCTTTCCTGTGTGGCTTCCCCAACATATGGCCAGCCCTTTGCTTTGAAATGTCAGGCCTCAGAGCAACAGGACAGTTTGGACCCTGGGGACTTCTGAAGCTGAGAGCCCATTCAGGCTCTCAGCAAACAGGCCCATTCTGTTGTGTACATGACTACTTCTGGAAAAAGTAATGAACAATATGTTGGAATTGATGCAGGCATAAAAACTAAGGTGAAGAGTAGAAAAAAACCAAACCCATCCATCAGCAACTGAAAAGAACTGAACACCTGCCCTCTCCTACCAGCAGGGGAAAAAAAAAAAAAAAAAGGGTGGGAAAATTGGTTTCTAGACTCAAATTGAGTGAAAGACGACTTTATGCTGGACTAGAGGTTTTTATAATTTAAGCAGGTGGGGAGGGAGAGTTTACAGTGAGATCAGGTTGGCTGGATGATGAAAAGAAAATGAGAGTAAAACTGCCACTATGATTTCCATCTTCAGCCTACCCAGATCTGTTGGGTCTTTTGTTCCACAGGTTTGTTGGTAACAGGTATCAGGATGAATCCATTGCTTGTACACAGCAATACACGTGAACATGACATGTAAGGTCTAACTTTCTAGTAATAAAAGACAGAGCTGCACATTCTAGCCATGAGCAGCCTACACTTCTGCTTGGAAAAAAAAAAGACATTTTTTATATTAACTTGATAACTTAGTTCTCTTGAAGTTCTATCAGCAGAGATACAGAGCATGCTATTCTTTACTGCAACAGAGCCAAAGTAAACTATCCCAGTGCCATATCAACTTTTGCAAAGGGAGGGAAAACCACTTACATGGAGTGGAAAATGCTCTGACACTCTTTGGTTTGCCCAGTGCAGATGGCTGGTTGCCAGGCAGTAAAGAAGGAATTGACTCTTGCACAGAGGCAGAACATACCCTGTAAGTAGCAAACAAACAGAACACAACTTGGACATGAGTGACCTACAGTCTGTGCTGATCTGAGAAACTGCGGATGTGGAAAACAATTCTTTAAAGTAAACATGATTTCTGTACCTGATGCTGTAACAGGCCGGTCATGACGCCAGGTTTGGAAGCAGCAGTCCCCTGGAGAATACTGCAGCCTTTTAACACTTCACCAATACAATGCAAATATCAGAGCACATGCTCCATTTTACCCCATGATAACAATATCAACATCACAGAGGAGTGTACCCATGCAAAATCTTTATTTGGAGGATGTCTCCTCTTGAATAACAGCACCCCTCTGGTTTACACGTAAGCCCAGAAACAAAGACAATTCTTAAAACACATTCATCTTCTGATATTGTATAAATAGCATTGTAATTGCTTATCCCTATTTCCTCTATTTTTATCCAGCTAAATCTGTCTGTGGGTTAGTTAAAGAAGAAAATCAAGGCAGTGACATAGTATTAGTTTTGGAGTTAGGCCACAGTATCTTAAAAGTCGGTGTGGAGGATGATCTGTATTGTTTGGGGACAGACACATGGATACTGATACACTGTCTAGCATATATATCCCCTTGTTTTCCTTCTGGATCAGGAATGGCTTTCAGAATGGTTCTGATTATTTTCTCTGCTGGTCTAGAGCTCTAAAGAAGGCTGAGATTGTGGCTGTTAAGTGTAGAAAGTTCCTCCTTCACTTTATAATCTGTATGTTATTGTGGTTTCTCTTGGCTGGGAAATTTCATTTTTATTTCTAATCTCAGCCATGTGTTGGTCAATTCTGACTTAAGTTCCCCTCACCCTCTCCCTGCTGTGCAGCTCTGCAAGCCATATTACAAACATATTTTTCAGCATGGGTGGGAGCTAGCATTGTGGTTTTGGGCTTTACTATTGATATCAGGCTTTTCCTTTCTCTTTGTTTGAAACATTTTTTTTCTTAAAAAATAGAGTTGATGGTAAACAGAGTTCATTTAGTCTACAGGGGGAGGTGGAGTGAACATTTCCCTGCAAGTTTGAATAAGAAATCACAATTTCACAATCTTTCTAATGAATTCAGTGATACAGTCATCATCTCATGAAATCTTCAGCTTGATCCTTTATTTGGATTATGCAGAAGAATAGAAGTTTAAATTTTGTAGACTCCACTTGTAATTAAATATCAGTCCCATAAATTAGGGCTGTAAGCACTGTGGCTTATTGCCAGTGGAGGGAAATTGAGGAATTGTTTGATCCTCAACCAAGAAAATACTAATGTCTTCCAAAAGGACAGCTTCACAGAAAACATTCAAAAGTCTGACAAGCTGTCAGTTCTTTCCATTCCTTTCAGCACTGTTTTGTCTGTCTTCTTTGAACTGAAGGCTCCTGCCAAGTAAAGATTCACTTCTCACATAGACTTGCCTCTATCAGATTTTGAATCTGGACAAAAGGGCCCACTTAGCAATTGCAAGAACTTTTGCCATTTAGAATGCCAGAACATTTCATTTCTACTTTTCTTCCAGTCACTCATTTTTTTTTCTTTGAAAAGGGTCAGTGAAGAAGAGATCAACATTCTAAACCAAAAATAAGGGTGAGCAATATAAAACTAACATTGTCACTTTGCATGTGGCAAAGGCAGCAGAATGTTGACCCTAGGTATTTATACTGATTTATTATATTAAACAGAAATATTTTACTAAATTCCAATATATATGTGTAAAGATGGGACTGGTTATTTTCTGAGGGTGAAGGAATAATTTTGTGGCTTTACCACTTTAAGCATATGCTGTCCTTCCTGTTTTTCCAGAGTCACTGGATGTTTCAGTACATCCAACTCCCAACACCAGGAGTGGAGTCAAGGAAACTTGATGGTTTTGATACGATATTGTTGTTTGTAATAAAGGCAAACCTGTGGTATGAAATACATCAGCCCTTCTTATGCCTGGGGATGGCTTCTTGAGTTAATAACTGGCGAGTGACGCTTGGTCAGGTGTGTGGTTTCACCGGGCATTTCCACCACCGGAGGTCTCGAGTCATTGAGACGCATTTCCCTCCTCTGCCTTCCTGTCCCTCCCGCCTCCTTTAGCTGTGGTGGCGGCGGGATTTGAAACACTAAAGAGTTCTGCTCAGAGCGCGCTTTGTCTCATTCCAGACTCCTCCAGCAAGGAGGCTGGAAGGGGGTCCGCAAAGAGCGGTTCCCGAGCGAAGCCAGCCTCCCACTGGCGCTCGGGAACAGCAAGAGGGAGCGCGCTCCCCGCCCCAGATGCACCGCCCGGGCAGAGCCCGCCCGCCCCCACTCCCGCTCCGCTCCATCCTGCCCTGCCCGCGGAGCCCGGGCCGCTCAGCAGCCCCGGAGTTCACCGGTGACTCCTCTTCCTCAGAGAGGAGATAGGAGCCTGGAACTCTGCGTTCGGTGCTTATCTCCCTGCCACCAAACCCTTGGGCTGGCTGTCCCTTCCGGATTTCAGCATGGCTAAGGGAAGGAGACGGGCAGGTCCTCGTTAGCTATTCAGCTCCTGAGGAGTCTCTCCATTAAACATTTTTAAAAAAATGTATAAGCCAGGCAGGATTGTGGTTTTTTTTTCCTGCATGAATTTCTGGAAATGCTCATGAAACCAGTATCTTCCCTTACCCCAGATTCCACAGCTGCAGCAGCACAGCAGCAGCACAAGTTGGGTACACGGCAGCCTGTAAAAGCATCATTTCTGAGGGTCTAGCTCTGCTCTTCCTCTTGAGAACAAAGTTCCTCGCTTTTCAGCGTTTCACTGCAGGAGGCACTGGAAGCAGCCTGGCCTGCTGCATCCTCCACCTCTGCACCTGCCCAGCCCTGAGCTCCTGCTCCAGCCATTTCCAGTGAGCAGCTGTTGCCAAGACAATGTATGCACCCATTGTGACAGGCACTGAAACTCCCCACTTACTGTTTCTGAACCACATCTGGTGTAAAAGGGGCTTTCTGTTCACTGCTGTTTGCAAACTGGCAAAGGGTTTCTGGAAAAGTGGTTTAGCTACCATCCAGCCCACTCCAATAGCTGGCATTAAGCCATGGCACAGGCACTGTAGAAACACTGAGGCACAATCCTTCAGAAAACTGTACCCCATGTGTTTCTCAATTGTCTGTATCATAGTACCAAATGAAACTACCAGTGTTGTTAGAGGAATACACCATTTTTAAAGCAGCACTAACTCTACTCTTCCATCCACTGGTCAGTCACATACTACTGCAAAACAAAGCTTACCCACTTTTTACGTTTTAATTTCTTATTCTTGGCCAGTAAAACCTTCCCTGCAACATTGTATCTCTTTTTTTAAAAAAATCTCTTCTCTTTATGTGCACTGAAAAAGTAATTACTTGACATGACTGATGAAACAGATAAGCTGCAGAATCAATTAACCCACTCCAGAAGGAAATAAAATGCACAGAAAACTTTTGTTCCACAGAGACACGAACAGAAGGTAGCAGGACTGGTTATATGGGACCATTTACAGTTCTCCAGAAATCAAGGATAAATTAAAACTTTCAATTAATCACTAGGCATCTCAGCTTTACTGATAGGTGGGATGACAAGAGTTGGAGTTCTTTCAGAACTGGGCAGGATTCAGGTCGGGGGTATTGGCTGGGGAAAGGGGGCAAAACATGCTTTGTAGCTATTTACAACCCCCGAGATGTCCTAGATGGTGATGAAGAAAGGAGAAAATAGTAAGAGTGGTAGGAACAGTTTGTCAACAAGAATTGCTGCACATCATGCACAAGAGTTAATAAAATAAATTATACACCACATTTTCTTTTCAAGCAAGCTTTAAATAGTCCATATGTAACAGCATCATGTGTTACAGACAAGAAATTCTTGCTGCCAAAACACAGGATGAGTGTTTTTCCCCATCATTCTTTCCAAATTACAGACTTAGGAAAAAATATTTCAAGAAATTAGAAGACTTTAAAAATTAAGATTATGCTAGAAACCAGAAAACGTCAGTAGAATAGACTGGTGAAGTACATGAACAAGTCATCAGAAGAATGTTAGTACACAGGTACTTACAAAAAAACCCATACAGGAATGGACATAAAGGCTTTTAAGACACATACTAAGCAGGCTAATTAAGGATCAAAGGGCAGAATGCATAGGCTTTATTATAAACTCTGTCATTCATGCATTTGTGTGTGCAGATAAAATATATTTAAAGCCATGTATTTAAATGCCATCAAGAAGACACCTGAACTTCTCCCCAGCAACCCCTGTTGACTTCAGGGAAGAATTAAACCCAGTTTTGCTTATTTTTGTACACTGGCCATATCCAAACTCATAATCTGCAAAAGGGAACAAAGTATAAGACAGAAAGCTGGTATTTTATCTGAGCCATTCAGTGACACTGGGACAAAGATCCAAACTCATTTTTTGGTAATGAATGTCCCATGAACGGAATGTCAGCAACACCAGTCTGGACAGTTCTCAGCTGTGTTTCAGAAAGTGGCTCCAAGAAGAACGATCCAAGGATTGAGTGGGGAAAAAAATAGAATTAACCCTGTAGTACATACATACATACATAGATGGCTTTTTTAGAACAAAATAAAGTAGCACTACTGAGTAAGTGGCAATATGGTGTGTGCATTAAGATATACAAGTGAAATCTGCTTGGGGCACCTTCACTCAGAGGACTAAGTCTTCTTAAAATATAATTATAATAATAATAATAATAATACTTCTTTATACTTGCCACTTGTTAGCAATTGTTTACATCGTAGAAAAATAGATAGTATTCTGTAACAAGAAATATAGTTACTTTGTTAAAATGGGCTATTTTAAACCAGCTACTATTCTTTCATATAAAGAATTTCTAAACAGCAAAACAAAAATAGGTAATACTGAGTGCAAAACAGCCAGTGGTATACTTTGCATTGGTTTGAAACACTAGTTGCCAGCTACTATAATTACATGTTCTGTACACTGTACTACAAAAGTCTTCCATCTTTTAGAAGCTTTTGGGTTTTTGCTTTTCTTCTCTCTAGGTGGCAAGTATTTAATCAAAGTAAGTTCAGACTCTGGAAGTCAGAAATAATTTCACAATCAGTCTTCGCTACTCTTTCACATTCCTTCCCCCACATAGTGCAGCAGCACTTTCTACTTATGGCCTTAAGTATGTTTAACTCCCTTAAGTTAAACAAAGTTTAGAATGTAGATACTTAGAAGTTTAGCTTATAGATTCACATTCTTTTAAAAATCATTTCCCTAATCTCACACGTTTACATTTACACCAACGTAACACCTCACTTTATACATTTCACCATCCCTGCTGAAGACTGAAATACAGTTCAGATGAAAACTCTTTGCCAATGGTAGGTATTGTCTTAAACGCTACAAAGCCAGATGGTTCCAATGTTGAAGTCAGATTTTTCTGTGGTCTCCACAACGGTTTCAGATATGAATAGCTAATTCCTAGTGGCAGTGGTAAAGGCATTGTCAGTACACCATGAACATGACAAATGGAGACAATTTCCAAACATTAAAGAACAAAAACCAAACAAAAAGCACCCAGAAAAAAAATCAGTGAAACATTCTTGGTAGAGCAGAAATCTCTCTATTCTCCTCTTCATTAATGTCACACCTTTTCAACTTTGGTGGGGTCATAGGTATCTGGAGAAAAAAAACAAGAAAGCACTATTAATAATGTATTGTGAATTCTACTCCATATTACTAGCTGTGGAAATGAGACCGCTTTTCCCTAGCTTTTATTTTAAAAAAAAAAGATGATAATAATGGACTTACCACCTTAAAGATACATACCACATTCCTGACCAAAATTCTGTATTTATACCAGTGTAATTTGGGAATAACTTTAATCAAATGCACAGAGATAGAATTTGGGAGGCTTTGGGTAGGTAGGAACAAGCACACTGAATGCTGAGCGATTACTTCTAGTTCTCAGATGCCTTGACAGGGAGAAAAAGACATAAGATTTGCTCCCCCTTGTTCTGAACACTAAGGACCAGTAAATGCTTTAAAAATCCTACTAGGGTGTTTAAGGCTAGCTGAAGGACTGATTATGCCACGCAGTCATCAGGGTCTTTTCATTTGATTGCAAATCCTTGGTTTCAGATTAATTTAACAGAAAACAGGAAAGCACAGCTGCACTTCATCACTGTGGCTGTCTCACTTCAGTCTGCAAAACTGCAGCTCACATTTTGAACCTTATTTACTGAAGCACTGGACTGGCTTACTGACACTCTTCTTTATTTTCAGCCTACCTCCTGTCAGTTCACAGGACATACCACACATTGGCTTTCCTTCTCCCAAATCCCTGAGGGACACTCTAGTATCAGAATTTTTAATGGATTTATCCCAGTGTTTGCCATGAAGTCAGCAGAAATGAGCCTTTTCCTTCACCCTTGTGACTCTGGAATAGGATTGCAGTGAAAGGCTTTGCCTTGTGCGGTCTTCCTGCCCAGTGCCATCATGCAGGTGCCTGACTTACCCTTGGGATGCACAGTCATGTCTTGGAGGAACCACGGCTACCTACAGAGGAGTCTGTAGGCGAGAGGGGCCCGGACAAACCAGCACTGCAGCCTGCACTGCCGTGTGCTACTTGCTGCTCTTACACAACCTGAGTATCTGTGCTAACCTTAAACGTCCCTCCCGTGGGCTGTACTCCCACAGCACTCGCATTTAAACAGTTGAGCATGAAAACAGCTCCACACATAAATATCACACTTTGGAGTAAAACGTTCATCCTCAGAACTTTCATGTTGATGTGAGTGAATGTCTTCATTCAAACAAGCATAAAAACCCTCGAGGGAAATTTTTGCTTCCATGTGCAAGTGTCCATCTGCAGCATCCAGACTCATGTCAAGGGCAGACTGACTAAGAAAGGACTTCTGGATTTGGCCCCATTGGGTGGATTCCTAGTGCAGAATCCTTTATCACTTCTCTTGCTACCCGCCTCAAATTGCTAGGCTGGCCAAGAAAGGCGTCTCTGCCAGCAACACCAATCATTTCAGAACTGTTTATCACTGCTAAGCCTCTTCTGGTATTTCCAAACAGACACTATATGAATGCAAAAAAAATCAACAGGAAAAAAGTTTTTGAGGGCTAGGGCACTCCAGGATAATGCTGCATCTTTCTAAGCTTAATGCACAGATGGTGTGGGAAGATGCTTCTAAAGCAGTCACATTTTTTCTACTGTAAATATTTTGCCATCTAAACTACTAGAACATACAAAAATTCTGAACTGTTCTGTGACAGGTTAACCTAAGAATAAAAACGAATTTACATTTCAGAAACTTGATTTTCCTAAGGCCAGACACATTCACATTATGAGAATTCCCCACAAAACTGCAGGTGCTCACTGCTTCAGGGAGTGGCGGGACAGGGGTAGGGGTGGGGAGGGAGGGAGGGATAAAATCAAGCTACGTGGAGCCTCTGGATGGCTCAGTTTATTCCCTGAAAGCTTACTCATGCTTTCAGCACCTAAACAAGGACACAAAAGTGTCAGATTGCCAGGCTATGTCATCCTTCTGAGGGGCAGAGACATTGGAGTTCTAGCACTGAAACAGAAATGTTTATTCAACATTCGGTTAAGCGCATTCGAAATGCTCTCTACAGAAACAAAGCCAGAGTAGCAGCCCCATGTCTTCAAACAGCAAAGGAGAAAAGACATCCAATGCATTTGGGAACACTTGGAGATGTTCTTCTAATGGCAGTATTTGCATAGTAAGATGAGCTTCTCACACTGAGTTTTGGCAGAGCTCTTACTCTGAGATGACTGTTCCTCTGCCAAGCTACATTATACATGCGAAAGCCTGTTTCTGCTAAGGGCTCCAGCCTCTGCGACAGGCCCAGTCTGCAATTATAACACTAACCCTACCTTATTTTTAAATAGAATGGCCTTTTGGAATGGAATATTTGCTCTTTAAAAGCAATTAATATAATGATTTTCCAGGATTAATTCTCATTTGGGCTTTCAATTATACCAATGGGCTACTCTGGGAAGCTGCAGTGAGATTTAATAACATCAGGCCTTTCACTAAACATGAATCTTCAGCCCTGCTCTGTTGAGATAAGGTGAAGATTTTGTGGTCATTGACAAATTAGGGTCTCTTTGAACGGGAAGAGGCCAGTGGAGGAGCTGCCTGCCGACCCCAAACAAGTGTGTTACCCTGTGGTACTGGATGTGAGCAGCAGGAAGGGAAATCCATGCCATCCAGACATGGGGAGAGCTGTTATGGCTGTGAGGGAACTGCTGCAATGGGAACACTCTGCAGAACGCAAACCTAGCATTGTCAGCAAGAGGGATAAATTTAGACCTAATTTACTGCAGAATAACTCTCCAATAAAATGCACACAATCTGTTTTGATACATCCCTGAAGTCATGTCACCACAACAGATATTTTCTTCACTCCAGCAGAAACCCCAAGGGAGGAACGCATATGAAATGCATGTGGGGCATACTAGACCTGATGGGTACAAGAAAGCTGAATTAGCCTGTTTGGAAAATCTGGTCTAGAGAAATACTGTTCAGAGCAGAAAGAGACAAAGATGTGGGATACAGAAAAAGACAAGAAGGGAAAGGCTACAAGACTGCAGGAGTCAATATTTGGAACTCATACAAGCATTTCTCTTCAGATGGAAATGCCTGAATCCAGTTTAAAGTATACTCCATTTAATTCCAGTCCCTCTGCACTGGAAAACTGCGAACAGATTCATACTCATGAGGTTTAATGAATAACTTGTGCAGATTTCAAGGTAAAGTGTCAGCTGTTACAGAGAGGATGGAAAAAGGAAGGAGGAGATTAATACTAATTTAACAACTTTCACACCGTACATTTGCTCACTTCAATTAATTTAATGGACTAGGCAGGTGGCCTGGGAGATTTATCCCTTTACAGAGATCTATGGCAACAACTGATTTTCAGTTGTTCAACACAATGCTGTCTGAAAACAGTTTCGGACAGAGAATAGCTTGTGTTTTTTTGGGGATGCATACAGACTACACAAGTTTATATGCTTTCGAGAGACAAGGAACACCAAAAAATAGGGAAAAAAAAGGTGTTCACTGAAAAAGTCAACTTTCCGTTTGACTTGGGGTTAACAGCTATTCTCAACAACTGATCTGGAAAATATTCATGAGAGAGAGGGAATTTTCCAGGCCCCTGAATGTAGCTATTTCCCAGAGGCTTCATAGAAGAACATCAGATTTTTATTTTTAGTTTCTTATGAACTATGATATAGTATGTGTCTATTTAAGTATTAGGGAGGGAAAAAAATTGGCATTCAAGAAGAGGCTATCACCACGTGTTCCCAAACACTAGCACTAGAGTAACTGTCTTTGAACTCCGCTGTTTTAGCCTGACCATTCCCTGAAACAATTAGACAGAGATGAGACCTTAGGGAGCACTCCAGTCTCTGTGAATGAGTTTCAGTATCACAAGTGAGTTTTACAGTAACTATTCCTAAAATGGGATCAGAGAACACTCATCTTTTCCACAAGGAGAGCAAAGTGGGTGGCTCCCAGATGAAGGTAGTACCACCTACAGCCTGTTACTATTTGAGCAGTATACGTGGGCATAAGCAAACTGATCATGCCCATTACATAAGAAAAGAGTATCCATCTGGATCTCCCACAATAGGGTCTTACCTAAAGAAAAATCTCTGTTGATCTTCTTCTTGTCCATTCCACCTAAACATCCATTTTCACTGAGAGAGATAACACGCTTGGAAACAGCCCCTGAGCTTGCCAGTTTGCTTCCTCTCTCCTCTTGTACCTTTGACAGCTTCTCCTCATCAACCTCCTCTCCCGAGTCTGCGCTCTTAATGCTCAGACGTCTCATACGGGACACCGAGTCAACTTCTTTCATCCGCACTAAGCGATCCATGGCAGTCCGACTTGGAGGAGAGGTGAGCTTGCCTTGAAGCGTCTCTATCACCTTCGAGGTGCTTCTCACTCTCTTTTCTGAATGCTGATACACAGGTGACTTGCAAACCAAGTTTTGGTCCTCACCTTGGCTGGGACTCACAGGTTGTTCCAGAGCTTGCTCAGTTACCCGTGTTTTAGCACTGGCTTCCTGGTGAGTGGTCTGGCATTCATCACGGTGTAAAGATCGTCCTCCGGCTCTGACAAAGAGAGCACTCTCTGTCCAGCCACACTTTCGTCTGCCTTCGTAAGAATCCTCCTTTTTTCCTTCTTTGTCACTTACTGTGCTCTCCACTGATGATGACTCAAAGTCCTGAGCACCGTTTGCAGGGCTAGTGCCTGGGTGGGGCCCAACGTGGTCATCTGGAAGGAGAGACTCCACTGCTATATCTATACCTAAAATTCTTGCAGCTCTTGCCTGCAATGACTCATTCACGGGGATTTCCACTGCATTTGCATTTGAAGAGTGACCAGAGTTGCTAGCACCAGGTTCTGGAGCCACATCAAGTCCCACTGACCTCAAATCTGGCTCAGAGCACCCTTGGTTCCTCTTTGTTAGTGACAAATATCCTACTGAGCCTCTCTCTAATACCGTATCATTTGTGGGAGTTGCACCTTTGCTCAGTTTAACAAAGTCTAGATAATTTTGGTCTTCACTCATCTCCTGCAAGACAGGGTTATTGAAAGGATTACTGTGACATGAACTGCTTGAGCTACTGGACAAAGCTCTCTTGACAGGGCCCACATGAACTGGCTGCTTGCTCATTTTGCTCTTGGCTTCCCCTGTCCCCATTTCTGTTATCAGACTTCCATCTGCTGGCCTGACTCCTTCACTGCTCCCTCCTGGCTGCAAGGAGCTTTTAGAGCCAAGACAGCCTGGCTCGACACCATCCTCTGTCCCCATACTCCAACTTTCAGACTTACTTTTAACTCTTCCTGACCTAAATACAGGCACCTCTGGCATAACCATTTCTGATTTCCCACCACGTTTTGGCTCCTCGTTTGATTTCTCATTTCTGGGTGTCCTCCTCTTCATAAGGGCACCTGCCTGCAGAGAAGCTGCAGCACTTTCCAAGTCTTCTTCACTGCTTGTGCTCTCCTCCTGCCCTTGCAGCTCCTTGTTAAAACTTTCTAGCTCACTTATTGCATCCCACGGACGACGACTTACAGGTTTCAACAGGAACTGCCCAAACAGCTCTTTACTGTTGCAGGGAGCACCTGGTTCTCCCTTAACTACATCTCCCTTGGAAAGAAGGCCATTTTCCCTCTCCTGGGCAGGCACAGGCTGACTGTGGTGGGCTTTTGGGGAGGGGGCCTGAAGGACTGTGGTGGCAGTCCTGGAAAATGCACTGTTGCTAGACTGGCTGAGATACATCTGACCCTTCATACTGTAACTGCTCTGCCTGCAGCCTCTCTCTTCAGAAGGTGACTCCGTCTGTTTTGCCCCTGTCATGGATGCTGTACTTCCCAGGCGTTTTGGAGATAGCTGATTGCTACTATCAAGCTGCCCAGGCTTTGTAGCATGTAAAAATTGTGGGCTTTCAGGTTCTTCACTGAAACTGGTCTGTGTCTGCTGGTCTTTGTACTGATCACCTGGCCAGGAGCCAGAATATTTGAGCTCTCTGTGTTTTGTAGGCTGAATAAACCTGAGGTCATTCATTTGTTTGAACTCCTCTGGTCTCCACAGCTCTTGTTTTTGTAACTCATTTTTATTGGTCATGCTTCCTGTAAGCGCTTGTAACTCCAAGTCCGTTGAAGACATACTTAAGAGACTTTGTTCTTGCAAAGCCCCATTGTTATCAAACCCATTCTTATCAGGGCCCTGGGTTATGTTGTTGTTCCTATCTGTATCTGGCAGATTGGATTCTGATTTAATTGGGATAGAGACCAAACAAAATATAGTTTCATTCATTTTTTTCTTTGAACTCTTTTTGCTCTGCATCCCAGTTCCAGGTTCAAACTTTTTCACTTTTGTAACAGTCTCACAGGTGCTGTCCATATGTGAATTTCTTACAGAAAGTTTGCCTTTCGCGTACTCTGTGCTGGCTTCGTTATGGGGGCTGTGATTAGCTGAACTACAACTGTCTCTTTGGTCCGGCAAGGCACAATTTTCCTGATCTCGGATGGATGGTGCCAACCATCTGTTGCTATGGGTGGAGCTGTAGGAAGTTCTTTCTCCCTTTGCAGAACTGGACAAGTTTGATGTATCCACAAAGGCACTGTTGTACTGTACTTCAAGATTTCTCTCTTGCAAAGCACCAGAACTGGGACTACATGCATTTTCTGTGTATTTAGCATTGTCCTGCAGACCTTCCAGCGGTGCAATTTTAATATGTCGTATCCGAGGATCATCAAAGGGAATGTACTGGACAGAACGCAGGTGGTCAGCAGGGCGCCTTGCATGGCTTTGCTTCCCATGAGGAAAAGGGTTGTCTTTGCAAGGGTCACCTACCACTTCAAAAGTATTCATGGCTGGTCGCTGGCAGGGTACGACCCGCTCTGCAGCACCCTGTGGATTGCTGCTGGCGCACGTTTTGGTTTTAGGCACTTCACTGGGGGAACGTGGGGGCACGGTTTGGTGAGGTGGGGATTTGTAAGAAGGAGGAGGTACGTACACTGGGGGCTCCAAACCAGAGTCTGGAATGCAAACATCTTGCCTTGGCTCATTAACTTTGGCTAAGTAGGAGGTGGGTTCATCTTTCTGGTAGTGGTCCTGGAAACCCACAGTTTCTGCAGGTGCCCTAGTCTGCCGCTGCATTTCGTAGGATGGAGGCTTGAGAGGTCTCCCATACTTGGGTTTCACCAGGGGAAGGAAATGGCCTCCCGTTCCATGGTGCTTGGCTGGTTCCACACTCAGTCTGTTTGGGGAATAAGAGGGAGTTTTAGTTACACTGAGTGAGTTGTTACTGTTGGTCAGGGAGGGCATTTCCACGCACCTCATGCTCTCGGGTGAAAGGACCCTTGGCAATGACTGTGATTTCCCCTTGCTGTGGGTGCTGAGTACGTTGTCTCCCAGGGTCAGTGAATAGAGCTCTTGGAGCAGCTTCTCCCTGTCACCCTCGGACATTTGCCTCCCTACCTTTCTTGGCTGGTTCCAGCTTTCCATTCCCAGATTTTGCCATTTGCAGTCGCTGGGCACTTCACAGCTCTCCTGAAAGCCGCTTCTTCTGACATGCCCTGTGCCTGTCCCTACCTTCAGCTGATTCTCCTTGGGGTGTCGGGCTGCCCCTGGGGCTGCAGCCAGGCTTTTCATTTCCACGCTGCCTTTCTGGGAATAGCCTAGTAGTACACTGAAGTCCTGTCCTCGTCTTCTCCAGTAGGCAAGATCTTTATCAGCCTTGGGCTGGGAAGATCGTGCTAAATGAGGCCTGTCACAAACCCTGAAAAGAAAACACAGCATCAGAGGCAGCATGCACAGATGCCCTTTCTTTCTCATATGGATAAGGCCACTAAGAGGTCAAATGATGAGTTATGCCAATGGAGTTTGTGTAATCTATTTGCAACCAGATGACTACAATTTTAATGAGAAGATTTAAAAGTCAGTCATTAACATGAGTAAAGGAAGGGACAGAAGCTCTTTTGACATGTTGTTAGCTATGCAAAGCTGTTAGAAAGAAAGGCAAATGCACACAGTTACCTGCTGTCCTAACATGCATAGTCCTCCTTGATGGATACTAGAAAACTGTTCCTGCCCACAACAGGGGGCTTGGAACTGGATGATCTTGAAGGTTCCTTCCAACCCAGGTCATTCTCTGATTCCATTCTAAAACCAGAAATTACTACCTTGAACTTACTTCTGCACCCCGATAAATCAAAATCTATAGATGTCAAGAAGACTACTGTGGTATGCAAGTTTAATAGGATTCCAGGCAGCACAGGTAGGGAGAACAGGTAGATAGCTATTTTGTAAGATTTAAGATATGTTCTGTCAGCAACATGATTTGCATCCTAGTATAAGTGCTGAAATTAAACATGTCATTTCCAGAATTGATTCTAGTTCATCTTTCAAAGGGAACAAAATTCTTCAAAGTGCTTTGGATTAATGACATGTCACAACAATAGTGATGTATCAATACAGCTCTGAATAAGATGGAATCAAAATTTAAAATGTAAAATACATCAGAAGAAGTATAATTTTTTAAAACAAAATAGGGATTACCTCTTTTGCTCGAAAGGTAGAAGACATTGGACATTTTATTGCAGATTAGAAATTCAGAACACACCTGTTCTGTGTAAATTTACATGAACAGAATAGCTTCTTTGTGTCTTCTGAACAGAGTGCAAGCTGTTTTATGTATTACTGCAGAACAAAATTGGTACCCTTCTATATAAATAATTAATTTTCTACCTGAATTGCATTCTGCTATTCTTGTACCTAAGGTGTCCAACAATATAACTGCCTTTACACTATGTGGCTGCCACCAGCATAAGACTGGAAAGAAAAATCAAAATTGACAGAAATAGGACAAGTATGTAGTTAGAACTCAAGAATTTCTTTCTTTTCTCTTCACCCCAAGGTATATAAACAGTGTCATGTGGCTCTTTTTACTAAAAACAATGGTCTATTTAAATAGGAGATTGTGAAGACATAATACAAGTTGAAATTCAGAATGAAAATTAAGCCATCCAGATCCGCAGTATTTTTTTTTAATGCATATTAACTTCATCCTGTGAGTCTAAAAGTTTTAAAACCAAACTGGGATAAGGAGCATCTTGTTCATATTAATTCAACTGGATTAAGACTGAACATCTGAACAAAATGTTCTGCTGCTGAAGCACAAAATACAGTTCGATTGCTGAACCTCAGGAAGAAACAGACGTTTTCATTAATCAGTGAGATACAGCAGGACACCTCCTATATCGAAGAGCTGATTGCAGTAACAATGAACATTTCCACGTGGAAACATACAGCTTGACTAATGCTGTCTTCTACCTTTTCATCTCACCCCCATACTGCTGTGGCCCCATTTGTATTTTATAAAATGGGGTCAGAAACAGGGTCTAGCAACAGTGAGGAGGGAAGGGAGAGGTTGCTCTTTCTGTTTGATTTCATCCATCATCATAAAAAGGTCTACAGAAACTGCAGGAAGTACACAGCCATAGATTCCAAGATCAGAAGAGACCATTACAATTATTTAGTTTGACATCTTGCTCAGCGCAGACCATCAGACTTCTCTGAAATGATTCCTGCTTCAGTGCTATCATCTCTTAGAAAAGCATCTAAAAATCTTGATTTTTAAATTTCCAGAGATGTTGCTGCAAAGCTTAATTCACCATTTAAAAAAAAAAACAAAACAACAAAGTAAACCCAAATTCTTATCAACAGAATGGTTGTTTCTCCATTTATTAAAAGCTGTTTAAAAGATTAAATTTATTTTTAAAGGTTAATAAGTATGCTCCAGTGATGAACTTCAGAACATGATACAAACCACCATGTAACCTGTACTATGTCATCATTGCAACACGAATGTAGAAAAGACATTTAAGAGATAGTATTTAGAGCATTTTAAACCTGATCTTTTCTAAGATCTATTCAAAGGACAGACAGTATCAGCCTCTCTTTCTCCTGGCTAAGGCACTACAAAGGGTTAAACAGACAGTCTCTATCAGGGATCCAATAAATCTCTGGAAAAGATGAGACTGCACTGCACAGTGGGAAGGTAATGCTTCAAGGACCCTCCACTTTAGCTCCATCCTCTGCTCCCAGTGTTGGGAGAGCAGCTCCTTCACACCTGCACACAGAGTGGGCAGACAGGCAGGAGGAAGTGGGGCAGCACAGCATGACCACAGCTTGTGGCCACAAATGCAGCAGAGAGTGCCTCCTTCCAGGACATGTAACACTTTTGGGTCTTGCAGTCAGTGAAGAGGTGGAAAGGGAAGTTTCCAAGAGCCACTCCAAGTTCAATACGCTTCACTACAGCCTCAGCAATGCTACATCTCTGGATGGCGAGTACTGGACATGGTGCAGTCTTTGCGACCATGACATATTATCAGTGAAAAGACCACACAGTCCCTCTTAGCAGCAGCTCATCTCTGACTGTGCCTCTACCAAGTTCAGTCTCTCCATGATGTGCTGGTACTGATGCACGAAGAAATGCACACCCGAACACAGCAGCCTGCAGATGCCTCATAGCTGGGAGAGGTGCCACGGATGGAGCAGTCCTATGGGACCATCCGTGGAGATTTAAGTGTCAAGGATAGAGTAGTCCCATGGGACCAAGGAGGGGGATTTTAATATTATGAATTCTTTCCTAACTGGTCTGCTTCTAATGAATAGTACATTTGCTGTCAAAGTGCTCTGAATTGATTCTACATAAAATTAATCTAATTAAAACTGTGTAAAACCCCCAAACTATTTGTAGCTTTCTACGAATTTTAGCCCTTTACAAGAAGTGAAGCCATCAGTCCACCCTGCAACTGGCTGCATGACTGCATTTCACTGAACTGTCATGCTCAGAGCAATGGGTTGAAGCCGCCCAGTCCCCTAAGGTGACACCGGACCAGCAGGACCTCACGTGATGCAGAAAATGGGGCCAAAAGTGCAGGAGTGTGGCACAGGCCTCTCAGTCCAAACCCTGCAGAATGAGGTCACTGCATGGGTATCTACAGAGTGTCTGTCCCTGTTGCTGGCTGCCAGCATGCAAGCAGTAGGTGTTGGGCACCCACTAGTTAACCCTGCCTGATCTGCAGGCACTGGCACAAACTTTGTGCCCAACAAAGAGGCACCGTTAGAAAGGCAGGAAGGTAGAAAAATTTTCAGAGGGCTTTTCTGGACACTGGCAGCTTCTGTTCTATTTTGGGATCCTCTCCTCACATACACTCTTCTGAGACCCAGCATTGGGGAACACCAGTACACTTTTCCAATTTTTCCAGAAAGCAATCTCATTAACTACGTTATCTATTTATCTCTAAATTTGCTACCTACCAACATAACTCCTCCCACACAAACAGCTAAGCAAAGTGCCTCTTCTCTCCATGCATAAAAGAATCAGTAGGGAGTCCTCCTTCTGTGAACCCTCTCATCTCCACTCAGAAAGGGTCAGCTTTCCCATTTTCTTTGACTTGTCTCCTTTTCCAAACCTTTACTGTGCAGACTCTGAACGCTCAGTTAAGCAAGGACAGCCAGGACAGCCTTCCCACCATCTGCTCCCTCACGCTTTGCCTGAAGAACAACAGAATAGAGCAAAACTCCACTCCCCCATTCCACCAGGGCATTATCCCCCATCATACGAAGCAGGAGCAGCAAGTGGTGTGATGTGTCCACATGCAGCTGCTATGAAGCCTCTTTCCTCCTCAGCAGGCTTTAATTAGCAGAACAACCTTAATAAACAGAGACAACAGCATCATGCCCTGACATCACAAAACACCCCAAGCCTTGCAAACCTGCCTGCAAAGGCAGCCACGAGGCTGGCAACCTCACTCACTTCTGTGGTATACGGGAGGTGATCAGCTCTTCTATACAAGGGTGTAAACAACAGTGTGATGTAGATAATTCCCAAACGGTCCCCAGCTCTCTGCAGTGTGCAGTTCTTTGCCAGCCTGAGAACCAGAAGCCTATTTCCCGCAACAGTCAAGAAACCAGGCAGCAATATCAAAATACGGAGTTCACTATGGCCCAACTGCCACAAGCCCAAACACATGAGAAATTTCTTCTCATCAGTTTTAAAGCAGCTCACACTCACATGGCAGCCCTATGCCTCAGGTGCAGGGGAGTGGGTCTGGAGGGGGACTGTCACCCTGGAGCTCAGGAGCTGACACACAGATGCCATAGTGTTGCAGCTGCAGCTTCCCTGGATCTGGCCCAGGGAGCTTGCTCCTCACTTCCTGGACCAGCAGGGCCACGGCTGTGGCCTCCATGTGCTCTGCAATGGAGGCAATTCACACACTCAGGCATGGCAAGGAAGCGATGCCTGATATAAAGGTTATCCCAGATGCTAGTGCCTTGCAAGGATTCCCAGCAGGCTCACTGGGAAGCAGACTTTGCTGTAACAGTGGTATCAAGAAAATATTTCTGTTTTTATGAAAGCATGACAAAGCCATTTCCAGGGCTATGTTCCCTATTTTTTATGTGGAAAAGCCACTTTTAAAAGCCAGGATATAATATTTAACTATCCTGTAGACTGACAGGTTCCACCCCTTGCATTTTGAGATATTAGAAACAGACTAGCTTCCTCAGCATCACTGCACACTCTCTCATCCTGCTTCAAATTTTTTTTCCCTTTCACTCTTTTTCAGTATCTTCCCTCACTTATTTTGCCACCCAGTTTACTTCATTCAAAACACACCTGGAAGGATCCGCCTTATTACCTTTAAACCTGTGTCCTGTCCTTCCTTCTTTAGAATGGATGGTTCCACCTGCAAACCTTCACTTCGACTGAGACCTGCTGCCCTACAAGTGCTTTACAAGGCTTACATCTCTTCCAGCCCATTATCCTAACTGGCAACCAGCAGCCATTCCTGCTCCAGGCAAACAGGCTTGCAAGGGGAAGATATATGAAGGGAAAGAACAGACAAGCCCAGCAGTGAGGGGACACATGGCTTTGCCACATGTTACTGAAGGACTTCGTAAGAGGGCAAGCTCCCAAGGTGACAGTGTTTTTTTGCCCTGCTTTCAGTTTCAAGCCCACTCGGCAGGAGGAAGGGGCTTTTCCTTGTAAACCATCCTCATACTTGGGCTGGCTTCCAGTCCTGCTCGAGCCCCTTTCCTTTGTTCATCTGCAGCACTCAAATAGCTGCAGAACAATGGCCAAGCAGCGGTGTGTACACACAGCTCTTCCTGCCCAGCCAGCCCCAGCCCCGGTGTGCACGTACTCTGTGTTGAGCAACCACGGTTGTACAAGCTCATTTTATGGTATGACGACAAGAGCTTCCACTGGCTTGGGCACGTTTTAAAAAGAAGTGCAAAGGCACCTTCTCATGCTTACTCCATTAAAGCTACCTGAGGAAAACAAGAAAGTCCTCAGTGCATATAGGAACACCCACCAGAAGTGGGTGTGTTGCACCTACCACGCTGCACATGATTGAATCTGCAACAAAAACTGAGGTGTGGATGTGGCAGAGGTTGAGTTCAGTTCTTTAAAACTGAAGAAAATTAACTTTTCCCCCTCTTTGTCCCTGTACTAGGACTGAGCTTTCCTAAGCCCATCAGAAAGGCCTTTCTGATACAGACTTCATAGTTAAATCAAATTTTCCCGCATGCACCCACTTCCCATCATTCCCATATTCCCAAAGGCCTTTCTCTAGAAGAAGGTGAATGGATGTGCCACTGCTTCAGGTGGACATCCAGTGCATGGAAATGATCACTAGGATGGGAGCAGGAAAGGATCACAGATGGTGTTAAGGGTTAGATTTGTGATTAGTTATCTCTCAGGACCAAAAGAAAGAGAAAGCAAAGCCATGGCATGATGCTGAAACTTACCCCCCTTCTGAAGTATGAAAAGTGGACAAACCCTGAAGGTCATGGTGGTAACCAGGACCTGCTTGCCTCCCTTGGCTCCCATGGCTGCTTTCAGTGCTGCTCGAGTTGGTTTTCACCAGAGGTTTCTTGCTGTAGGCCCCAGCTCTGGATTCTGCCTCAAACCCGTTCAGTGCTGACCTCTGAGCAGATCTCTTCCCTGTGACTTCGTGTCGGTATCCATCATACCTGTTCTCATATGAAACAGGGGGATTTTTTGACAATTTGTATCCATGAGAAATCAGGAGGTCCTCGACACTGAACATGTTGTGCTGGTTTCACTCACAGCTGTGCCATCAGAAAGCTCTTTCCAGCTGGACCCATTACTAGAAAACAAAACCAAAAATAAGCAGAAGGCTTTAAACAAGGAAAGACAGACCGCTTGAAACAAGGAAAGATATCTTTGATCAGCTAGTAGGCTACTGAAGCTAAAACCCTGGACTGGGTTTTCCACTCTCTTAATAAAATAGATGAAGCAAAGTGCATGCAGATGCTGATGAATCATGTGATGGCCTTCCCTAGACAATACATCTCCTTGCACTCAGCCAAGCAGCAGATGCTGCGCTGCCACTGCTGCTGCTGACTCAGTCCCTTTCACTCAAGAATTCACTGGTGATTGCAGCTTTCAGATTTCACTAATGTGATCTCAAAAAAATCTTTGCACCGAAGGCAAGCCCACAACTTGAGCAGGCATTTCCTTGGAAAACTATTTTTCTCCAGTCATGGAGAGGTGTGCTCTATATTGTGTTTTAAGTTGCTGCAGGACGAGGGGGTGGATTACAGGGCAATATGCCTCTCCCTACAGCTCTGCATATTCCAATTAAAAAAAGAAGTTCACATGAACAAGGACAAAATATACATAAGAACAAAACTGAATTATGCAACCACATGAGAAGCCCAGGTAATATCATGCAATACCCCAGCTAAACAGTCTTTTTTACAGCTTACTTTCTATTCTCCCTGCATTGGCCCATTGGAAATTTGTAGTCCTCAGCTAGAATAACACAAAACCTAAGATTTTTAAATGTTGTTTTTACAGCACATTTCCACTGAGTAACACGACTGGAAACAACCTGCAATGGCCATGTCTATCGTGTCTCAATGATTTCCAAGACACAGGACAGTTAAGATTTTTCTTGCCCAGTGACAGCCCTCAATTCTGCACTCACTAGAGGAAAGATCCAGCAAACTGAATTAGTTGGTCGGAAACAATCTCTATTGTCTATACCATTCCTACAGGTTATTACGGCAATTACAGAACACCCAGTCTTCCTGAGTTTTAAAGCAAGTGGAATGTAACGTTCTGTTCTGTAGGTTGTGAAAAACAATGGTCCTGTTCTGATACATTCCTCCTTGTTAGAACTGTGTCACCAGAAGAAAGAAATATTAAAAAGGTGGATAAACAGGTAAAACACACAGAAATAAATTTGTTATGTAAAATGTAAAACACCAGATGATTTTCCATGCATGAGGAGCTAGCTCATTTAACATGCCTAGTGAGTACTGTGTGTCCTTAGTAGTAGCAGGTCCACCGGAGAATCATGAGCCCAGCACTGGCAGCTGCTCAAAAGAAGATGATTGTCTCTGCAAAGAGCATGACAAGCAAGTACATTTTATACACTGGTCTCTAATCGCTCCTTGGACATGCAAAAAGGGAGAAGTCTGTTCACTTCAGTTGACAATTACTTCCTTGAAATGGAGCAACTACTGAGATAGATGCTATGTGTTTATTAGTACTAAATCTCCCAGGCTACGTATACACAGAAGTGGATCAGTTGGCTTACTATATAAACCAGTTTCTGTGCTGCAGTCCCCTATATACTATGGCCACTTTTTGCCTATCCAGCACCTCATCCATTTTCTGTGCTGCCTTGTCTCCTGAGTGCTCTGCAGGCTACAGAGCTGGTCTGGCCAGGAGCTCTGGGCCAGCCTGGAGTGCGGCACCTGGGCATGCAGGGACCTCCAGCCACATCTGCCCTGCGCTGCCCACAGTGGCCACAGCACTTGCCCAGGGAGAGCCCACAGTGCGGAAAAACAGACAAAATTTTTATGCAGAGCCACAACTTAACTGGTAACCTGGAATGCTGCAGAAGTAGCTTTTCAGCCTGAGAGCCTGCTGAGCACTTAAACCGGTTTGCCTCTAGAGCTTAATGAATCTCTTCCCTTTTCACACATGTAACACTACACACCCTTTAAAAACAGAGAAATAAAGCTCTGTGCTGAAGATATTTTAGGAGTAGCCCTTGCTAGAACACGACTCCAAATTCCCAGTAAGAGCTCTGAGTAGGCGAGCCAGCACTAAGTACGAGCAGACAGAAAGCAGGGAGGAGCGGGACCCTTCCCTCATGGAAGGAAGGGAAGGCTTTGTGGGTTATTTTTGAATGCTGACCTAAAAAGCTGATTTTCCATCCACCCTCTGCCTGGACTGTGTAAGGAGCCAGGTACGAGCAGAGCAAAGGGAACAGCTGGCTGCTAGAGCTGTTCAGCTTCTAAGGAGAGAAAGATCCAGTGTGACTACCATAAACAGCAGAAAGCCCATCAAAGTGCTCACAGGTGCAAGGAAGAAATGTGCTTTTCCTGCTATTATCAGACTGGTTTGGAGCAGAGCTTAACCCCTTCTCTGCTGCCACTGTAGCCATGGTGGCATCAGAGAGGCAAAGACGAGTGGGTGAAACACTTCCAGCCTGTAGGGTTTACTCTGATCCTCCTCCTCGCATCAGCAGTGAAGGACAACGAGTGGAAATGCCCCATGAGGAACTGGTGCAACTGTCTCCTTCTGCTCTGCAAACTTATCACATGTGGAAGGGAAAACCCCACGGTGCTACGGGTGGTGGGGAGGCCCATCTGGGAGCAGGATGCTGTCACTGTGCCCGTCACAACACTGCAGTGGGAAAAACCAAGGGGGTGAAGCCCGCGCCGTTCTGCCTGCCATGGTGCTCTCGGCACCAATCCCCAGACGAGCTCTACCCAGACCACATGTAAAAATGCTCCGTGCTCATGGCACAAGCTCCAAAGAGCCAGTAGCAGTGGTGAGAGGTGGCTACTAACCAGGACACTGGCAGGACACGTGCCTTGAAGGGCTGTGCAGAGGTTGTGGGGAGGTGGCATGCCCTGCACTGGACCTGGCTTGGGGGCAGGGAAGCTGGAGGTCCTGCCTGATCAAAGCTTGCAGGACATCAACCATGTCAGCACCAGCATCTGCAAGGATGCTGGCCAGCTTTACAAATCTGGCTTCAGTGCTGGGACATTCACCCCACCCTCCCTTAAGATAAATAAATCTAAAAAATAAAATCAAAGGAATTGGATTGGCAGGAGTAACAAAACCATTGCTGCAGCGCTGTCATGTAAATAATCTGTCAGACTGGGCCACAGAGTAGAGGCTGTGCAGAGCTTCTAATTTGAGGGAAGATCAACAAGGCTGGAAAACAGTTTGTTTTTCCAGTGCTCATTTGTTTTGTTTGCCAATGACATCAGTGCTTTCTGATAGGGTTTGCTTCCTGAGGATGCCTGCTATCTTGCCAGCGTTTCCGACTTGTCCCCGGCAGCCGGTACGACTCTGCATTACATTAGAAACAGGGGCCAAGCTTTTCTCTAGAAACTTCTCAGCAGCACTCTCAGATGCAAAGAAACAAGCGTGAATGGCGGAAATCAGCATCAGCCCCCGTGCAGGCAGACACAATGGGGACCCGCAGCCTCAGCAAGCGGGACACAATGGGACCACCAGATGGAAACGTCATCAGAGCACTTCGTCTCGGGGTGCTCCATCCAAGAGCGAGGATCTCATCGCTGGCACTGAGAAAAGCCCAAAGCACTCCTGAAAAACACCCTGAAGAAGTCTGGTGCTAGAGTTTCCTCAGAGCTGCTTTTGGAGCTCATTCTCAGCGGGGGAAACACACCGGTTACTAATGATAATCCGCCTTTATCTGTAGCTCTTTTCAGCGGCAGGGGTTCCCAAGCCTTATTATTTTGGGGGGGGTTCCACCATCTGTATGATGGACAGTGCTAGCAGTTCCTACCTCCATGCTCTGAAATGGCTTGCATGCTGTTGAACCCTCCCTTCATGGTGTTCCAAACAGCCCATTGGCAGACTCCTTCCTTTAGCCCAGGTTCCAAAGAGCATCCTGGCACAGCAGCCACATACTGGTCTGGGAGACCAGAAGTATCAGAAAATTTGGCCCTGGCCGCCCTCTGTAACATCTCTTCCACTCTCTGCTACTTGATTTTATTTTTTTTTTTTTTTACAGAAAAGAAAACACAGAAGGCACATGATTCATATTGCAAAATTATGCCTACAGTATCAAGAATTGCCAAAATCAAGGCACCCCGCATGGACACACAATTTGCTGCAGTCGGTAATTACATGACTTGAGGCTACTGAATTCTGCAGGACTCCTGCCCTGGTTGATGTGCAGACTAGGTGATGCTAGTCCTCCCAGGTTTTATCTACAGCAGTTATCCAAACACTGTTCTGAAGACAGAGTTACTAACAGGCATCTAAATTACAAAGCGCATTATCTAGATGGGTCACACATTAAACTAGCTTATCTTCACTCACGTCTGGGTGACATTATTCCCATTTCATATCAGACATGTGCCAGACAGAAGTATTTATACAGACAGACTAAAGTGAAAACAATTGCCTCCATTCTAGGCACTCTGACGTGCCTACAACCTGATTTTTAAAAGACTTAGCTTTAAAAGTGAACTAGGTACGTTCAAAACAACTGCTGCAAGAACCTAATAGCTCTGCACATCGACCCAAGTGTGGCAAATCAGCTGTCCACACAATGAAAACATGGGATAAGCCAAAAAATTGGTTGCAGTAATTTCTCTACTGTGCCTTCCTCCATTCCTCTGCCCATCTAAGCCAACACCAACACTTTTGTCCAGGAAGCCCAGTATCCCCCCCACTCTACTAACTCTTCACCACCATGCACCCTAGTGCTTTCCTTTCCCACTGTCCATCTGTCCCTCTTGCCATCCCTCCTGCATCCCTTCCCTGCCTTCCTGTCTTCTGGTTCCACCAGTTCAGTCACACTTCCCACACAACCCACCACTGTGTTAGCCAGCCCATTCCACCCTCTTGCACCCCTTACAGCTTCTCCTGGTCAGTCCTCTGTTTGCATCCATCACCCCATATTCTTCCTTTCCCTCCTGATGAACACCTTCTGTCCTGTCTACATTTCCAGCAGAATTACCTCTGGGCTGGCTCTCTGCTCCCAGATTCGAGATTCCATCTCACCTGTACCTGGAAGAAGCAAGAGCCATCTTTACAGGGATGATCCCCCTCCAGCAGCACATGCTCTGCTGGCACATCCGTTGCAGC